GTTCAGAGAGTCCAGGTGGTTGAGTAAAAGATTGTTCCATCTCATTTCCCTTTGGGGTTGCTGTAGGTGATCCAGAAGTCTATTTTTGAGACTTGTTTACGTGTCTTCTCATTTCCACGGGAGGGGGTGCTTCTGGCACCCACACAGCTCACCTTCTCTGCCCTAGGAGCTTGGGATGGCAGTGGGGGAGCTTCCTTCTGGGTGCTGGGACTGGCTGAGCTTCTCTGCCCTAGGAGCCTTGGATGGAGGCGGGGAGCTTCCTTAAAGGTGCAAATTTCCAATGATGAATGTCATTATATTGAATACTAAAATGTACCAATGTAATTAATTTTAAAAAAAGGCTGAGGTAGGAGGATCTCAAGTTTCAAGCTAAGGTGGACAAGTTAGCTGGACCCTGTCTCAAAAAGTAAAAAATGGGACCTAGCTTGGTGCAAAGGTGCTAGGTTCAATCTCCAGTATCAAAACACCAAAAATAACTCCTCCCCTCAGAACACTTAATTACAGAGTCAAGGGCAATCTGAGGAAATTTTTATATATGTGCTGTAGACAAATAACTGGCATCTTTGAAGTGCAGAAAGACACTCCAAAAAATAACTCTACCCAGTAGGAAAAGAGCAATTTACCTGAAAAGACAATTTATAGCAGAATCAATAAAAACAATAAAAAATATTTAGCCTTGCTAGTGATGAAAAAATACTACCTATCAAATCGGTAATTAAAAACTGATAGTGTTTGAATAGTACAAGTGACACTTTCAGATAGAGATGTTAGATGTGCAAGTTGATGGAACTTTTTCGGAAGGCAACTGGACACCTGGATCCGGAGTGAGCCAGAGGCTGGGTGGAGCTCAGTAGTACAGTGTTTGGGGGACATGTGAGAGGCCTGGGGTGGCTCCCCACCTCCCTCACAACCCCTCCCCTGTGCATGTGCCCACATGTACGTACATACATCCGTGGACACACATGCGCATGCGGGGTAAAGTAAGCTGTGGCCTCTGACACAGTGACTCTGTTTTTAGAAATTGTATCCCTAGGAAATAAGGATGCAACTAAGACTTTATATAATAAGGGTGTTTGCTGTAGTCTCAATTAAAATTGTGAGACATTTGAAACGACTTAAATTTCCAGCAGTAGTGGATTGATTTAAGTGCTGATATATGAAAATTTAGTATGTAGAAACTGTCAGCAGAGGTGAAACGGAAGTGTACAAATTCCTAAGAAAATGAATGATATGACAAAAAGGGAAGGAGAAGTCTGGGACAGACATCAGGCATACATGAGAAGTGCCTGAGGGTCCTGTGAGAGGATTCAGAAAGCTGACACTGATAAGGGCCCAGGAGCTGCAAGCAGGAGCCTCTTTCTCTGCACTGGGCTCTAGTAGAGCCTGCTGGGAGCTTGTATGGGCTGCCCACTGGGAGGGCAGGACAAGCATGGCCCTGTAAAGCAGGTTTCCAGCAGATCATTGGGGTGCCTCGCTGTTACCGTTTAGGTGACACTGTGGTTGTTGAGAAGACTGAAGTTAGACTCCAGTGGCCTGGCACACAGGGACTTAGCTGGCTTTCTGCAAGTAGGAAGGCAGTGAGGTTCAGAGGTGCCCTGTCCCTGGAAAGGAGCCCAGGTCTCAGCTCCTGGTTGGGTAGCCCAGGCTTCAGGAGGCTGGTTTGCAGCAGCCCTGTCTTCCAGAGCATGTCCAGCAGTCTCAGGGGCTTGTCCTCAGCAAGGGGAGGGTATGAGTGATTCTGACGCAGGAACCTTTCTACTTAGCATGCCTTACTTTTTAGTTAGGAAAGCATTATTTTAAAAAACACCATCCAGGTAAGTAGAGTTAGAGCATTTTATTTAAGTATTAAAATGAAATTTTCTTCCCAAGCTTGCCAACAGCCATTTGAAAGACCTTGGATTGTTTGGATGAGTCTGAGCCCACGTTGGGCAGGTGAAGCTTTCTCTGTCTCCTGGGAGTCTCCCAGGGCTGGTGCTATGTGGGAATTCGGTAGCTAGGCCATTCTAGCTTTGCTGGGCTTTGCCTGGGTGATGTTTCTTCCAGTGCTCAAAGAGGCCCTTGTACATTTTCCTTACTGGGAAGATCTTCTGTTTTATTTTCCAACTCTTTATTTTTTAAAAATTTCAAACATTTATTTATTTGTTTGTTTGTTTATTTATGTATTTATTTTTGAGACAGGGACTCACTATGTAGCCCAGGCTGCTTTGAAGTTACGGCCATCCACCTGCCTCAGCCTCCTGAGTGCTGGGTTTACAGGTGCTACTATGCCTGGTTCAAAATTTTCAAACATTTAGCAAAGATAATATTCCAACAAACACCTGGGTATTTACCATTTAGGCTTGGCAGTTGTTGGTTATTTGGTCACATTTGCTTTTCTGTCTATATTTTTGCCATCCCTCACCTGCGGCTTATCTATGTCAAGGTTATGGTAGATATCCTCACCCTTTACCCCTCAATATTTCAGTCTGAGTCTCCTGCAAACAAGGTCATTAGCCTGCATAGCCAACATACCACCACACCTAAGGCACCTCTCACCAATTCCTGCTATCTACACGGGTCTCCTTGCTTGCCTCCAAAATGTCATCTGTAGCTTTATTTGGGGGCAAAGGCTGAGGCTAGACTGTGAACAAGCAAGGCCTACACACAACATGTTTGGTTTTGGTAGTCTTTTTTCTAGACTGCTCTTTCCTTTCCCCTCCCTCTCTCCTTCTCTGTTCCCCCTTTTCCCTTCCTCCTTTCCTCTCTCTCTCTCCCTTCTTTCTCCCCACTCTCTGCCTCTCCACCTCTCACCTTTCTTCCTTTTCTTCTCCCTCCCTCTCTGCTTACTTTCTCTCCCTCTCTCTATAAAGCAATGACCCGCCAAAGAGCACAGGTCATGATCTTCTAGAATGCCCTATATTCTGGATTTGCCTAATGGACTCCCAGCTGTGGAACAGTCACTTGTTTATTTTTTTTAATTTTTCTTGCATTATCTGGGATCAAACTCAGGACCTTGCACTTGTGAGGCAGGTGCAGTGCCACTGAGCTAAATCCCTGGCCCAGCACTTGTTCATCTTACCTTTTATTGCTAAAATGAAGTTAGGTTTAGAGGTTTGACAGGAATTAGAAAATATTCTACAGGGTAATAATTCAGCATTGTGTGAATATCTCATTCCCTACTAATCTTTTACCCAATAATTTTAATATCCACTGATGATATTTGTCTGACTCAGGTATTAAATTAGAAGTTGCAAAAAAGGATTTCTTTAATTCTATGATTCCTTCCATATTTATAAGCTGGCAGTTACCTGTAAAAAAAAAAAAAGAGCTTCCCCTCAGCTGAGATGGATCACATTTTAGTGTATAAAGGCAAAGTATGGTAAATGTTTACTGATTTTCCTTAAATACTAATTTTTAAGGTAAGGAATTGGCCTAATGTTATCTCTAATAGTATAAATGAGTTTTTTTATTGCCTTTATTCTTTTTAAAATATTATCATGGACTCACGGATATTTTTAAATCCAATATTTTATACTAGTTTGTAGTCCCTTCATTATTGAGATATAATCCATACACCATAAAATATGGACCTTTAGAATATTCAGTTCAGCATGATAAAATAAATTCACAGCTTTGCAACCAACACCACTATGTAGTTACAGAACATTTTCATCACCCTAGAAAGATGCTGTGTGTTCATTATAAGTCACTCCTTCCCCTTAGCCCCAGGCAGTCACAAGCCTTTTAGTTCTGTCTTATGGGATTGGCTACTCTGGATATTTTGTATAAATGGGATCATGTGATATGTGGTCTTTTATGTCAGGCATCTTGTATTAGAAGATGCTGTACCCCTGGCATAGCATTTTATTTCCTTTTCCTGGCCAAGTAATGCTCCATTCCATGGATATAACATATTTTGCTCAACAGTAGAAGGTCACCTGTATGTTCTATGAGTAAAGCACGTGAGTTTTCATTCAAATTAGACTTTCTTGGTTTCATCTGGGTAGGGCAAAGTGTGGATCCATGCGCAGAGCTGCACTCACAGCTGCATGCTGCTGCTTCCCTGTGTTGCAGTCTAATGCTTGCTTGCTACGAGGGACACCTGGATGTTGTGAAATACCTCCGAAGACACGGAGCTTCTTGGGATGCTAGAGACCTGGGAGGCTGCACAGCTCTGCACTGGGCTGCAGATGGAGGCCACTGCCCCGTGATTGACTGGATGATAAAGGACGGCTGTGAGGTAGGAGGCTTTCTTGTTAACCACACATACTGTTAAGACTCTGAAATGCCACTCTGCAGGGTCAAGGAGAAGCGGAGGCCTTTGATTGGTGAAACTGAGAAATTATGGAGAAAGAGCTCTGGCTTTTCAGCAAGAAAGCCCCACAGGTCTTGGAGCAAAAGGTTCTTGTGCAATCGATGTGATAGTGAGGCTCAGGTTGTCACGGATGTTGATAGTGAGTAGGAAAAAGAAATTGGGCTGAACCCAGAGCTGGATCTGAAGCTTCTACTTTGTTCACTATTTGTTTATTCAATCTGCCAAAGCTTTATGGAGCATCTGCCATGTACCAGATATTGTCTTGAGTGCTAGAGACAGAAAGATATTAAGAGATTGTATAGCCACAATGTTTCTTCTTGCTTTTAAAATTAGATTATTTTTATTGTTGGTTTGCTTTAGAGATTAGTCATTACAAAGTTTTCCAAAGGGCGAACTGACTGACTGAAGCATGCAGCCTTTCTGTTCTCGCTGTCTTTACTCAGAAGCGGAGCAGGTATGTTGGTTTCCTTTGATTTCCATGTCATCAGAAGTACAGATCTGACATAGCAAATAGAAATAGAGTTGTTTAGACTTCTATAGCTGTTTGAAGATGGATCATTACAATCAGGTAAATTATGATAACTTCTGATAACTTTGAATATTAATGTCTTTCAAGTCTTGGGCTAAAAGTTTCGAGGCATGGAAATAACAATGGGTAAAATACTGTACAGTGATGGCCAGATGATGAAGAGCATTGAGGAATTAAACTGGTGACCTGGAAAATTAACTCAAATTGAGCAAAGTCCACGTCTCCCAGAAGACATTAGTATATTTGTTCTAGTTTGTCACTGAAGTGAGATTGAGGGAAAGCAAGGCTTAAATTGTGCAAACACAGTGGTTCCTGCCACTGCTCTTGCATAGTTGAAAAAGAGCTTCCTGCAAGGCAAAATCTCAGTCATTATGATAATTCCTTTCTATAGCATCGCTCATTTCCTTGTGTTTTGGAGCCATGCCCAAGAAGTCAGAAGACTTAGCCATGGGCCTCAGTGGGACAGCCAAACCACACTCACTGTGCATGGTAGCAACAGCCTTATTCTCTCGTTTGGTTTGTGATGAGCTGTGCTCATGCTTTGGATCTAGTAAAGTCTATGGTTAAAACTAGGTTGATCTTTGCTGACGGAGTGGGATCCAGGGTAAGGCAGGTCTCTGCTATCAACACTGAAACACTGGAATCGTACAAATGCAGGCTCTCAGAGCTTCAGACATGAAGCCAGTTATTTGGGATAAATTTCATCGTTCTCTGTAGCCCAGGAGCCACTTTGCAGAGGACAGAACCATAGCATAGGCATGTCTGCTAGTGGTGGACAGATGATGTCAACCAAGTCTCCGTGTTCTTGGCAGATGCTCACTTGACACTTCTGAAGACTGTAGGAAGGATTTAGGAGCCAAGAGGGGCATTGCCCTCATATTCCCAAATGCACTGACTTAATATTGAGGGCAACCGATTTACTTGATCAGGGGAACTATTTCTACATTTAATGAGCCATGTGGCTTTAGGAAACACACTTGATTTCTCTGAGATGGGGTTTGATTATTTCTAAATCAGGAATAAAAACACCTGCCCCTGTTTAACCTTCTGGACCAAAAGAGAAAATGTATATGAAAGTGTGTTTGAAACCGTATAAAGCATCTTGTAATACCAGGTGATTATTATTATTCAAATATAATGGAGGTTGCTGCCCATAGGTTGTCTATTTGCATGAGGAAGAGCGATGTAGCACTGGATGTTCTTATACGTGTAAACAACCTGCCAGTCTCTTGTTAATCTGTTCTGATGTTGTACTAAGCTGTAGATCATCTTTAAGTAATTCTTCTGTAACAGTATGTTTATGTATGTGCGTCCGTGCATTCTCTTATTCTCATTCTCTCTCTCTCATACGTCTATTTCAGTACCACTGTTCATAGATTGGCTAGGTTTTCATTGGAAGATGCAGCATTTACATTTTCTTATTTTACAATATTTCTTTTAAAACACTAGATTGAGAGTTTAGTGTAGAGCAGGTCATTGGGAAATGACCATCTTATTACTAGGAGCATTCTACTTTAGAGAAGGGTTAGGGTTAGGGAGCTTTTCAGATTAGGTTTGTCTAATGGATCTAATCACTTTGTATTTACTATCAGTCCTGCCTAAAAGTGACCAATATTAAGCTCCAGGGTGTGTGTATATGTATTACTACTGTCTGATTCTAGAAAGGATTTAAAGTGTGTATAAATATACATAAAGATAAGACAAATTGGCACTACTTTACAAAACAAGTGAGGAAAGTTAGGCAGAGAACATAGAACAGAGTTCACGGGGGGCCAAAGTAAGGAGAAGTTCAGTCGACTTTTCTAGAGTCTCTTTTTTCCATTTTAAAACAATGAAGATGAAAATGCCACTGAGGGTAGGACTTCCTGGGCCTCTCAGTAAAGGGGGCCTCTAAGGTGAGGGTCATGGCTCTTCTCACTGCACATAGGTGTGAGTTAGTCTAACATAGCCCAATCGACTTATACCGAGTCTAGTAGGACTGCTAGCTAACTCAGGACAGTTCAGGCAAGTAAATATTCCTCGTATTGGTCTACAATGTTTTATATTCAGGGGAAGCAGCTTGACTGAGAAAGCTCTTTGTCTGGACCACAGGTAGATGTTATAGACACTGGCTCGGGGTGGACCCCACTCATGCGAGTCTCTGCAGTGTCAGGAAGCCAGAAGGTGGCCTCGCTCCTCATCGAGGCTGGGGCCAACGTGAATGTGAAGGACAAAGATGGAAAGACACCTCTCATGGTATGCCCTTCTCCCAAAGGTCAGAGCTTTTCTACCTTTAGGTATTCTCTTAAATGCCACATATGTAGGAACCCTGAGTTTTGGTTCCTACAGCTTGTTAATAAAGACATGAGACTTTTTTTGAGACAAGATCTTGTTATCTTGTTCAGGCTAGTTCTGAACTCCTGGACTCAAGTGATTCCCCTGTCTCAGCTTCCCAAGTAGTTGGGACTATGGGAATACACCACTACACGAGAGCACTATTATAACATTTTTGGTGTCTTTTACAGTTTCTTTAATGATTAGCACTCTTAGTCCTTAAGGCCATTGTAGGATCAAAACAGATTTGTTAAAACCATCTGTGGTGGTCTGGCCTGGCTTCTCCTATGTTGCTTCAACATTGAGAAAGAGATGACATTTACCTTCTAATTGCCACCACCACAGAATAAGCAGGACCCAGGCCTGTCATGCAGAGCCCCAGTGGCCCGGCCAGGTCTGCCTTTGTGTGGTGCTGCTGGTGAACTCCCTGTGCCCAGTATGTGCCAGGTATACCCTCTCTGCTGCCTGTGCCCCTTTGGAGAGGGGGAAGGGGTGGCTGCACTCACACTGAACTGTTGTGTTTTTCAGGTGGCTGTGCTAAATAATCATGAACAGTTAGTTGAATTACTACTTGATAAAGGGGCAGATGCAAGTATTAAAAATGAGGTAAAATTGATCTTTATAAAAATCTTTTTTTGGAGGAGAAGAAATATAATAATATAATGTGTAATTATAATTTTTGTTGTTTCCTCTTTCAGTTTGGCAAAGGCGTCCTAGAAATGGCCAGAGTTTTTGACAGACAGGTGGGGATATTCTTTCTTACTATTAAGATAATTTGTAGTGTCTTCAGCATCCGAAAGCACCCCATCAAAACCCCAGAGGATACTCACCTGCTTATTTTGTTTTTCTAGAATGTGCTCTCCCTATTAGAAGAAAGGGGAAAAAAGCAGCTGCCAAAGAGGTCTTCTGTGCACTGATCAGAGCACCACCTGTCTACAAAATCCAAGCAAAACATGATTGTTGAACAGAGATACAAGAAATCCCAAGTCTTTGAGGGCTACATATTTATTTATTTAGTAGAAGATTCACAGTGACTTTTTGTAACAGATAACTGTTCCCACACTGAAATACATCTTTTTACCTAAATGAGCATGCATATGTGCTTGCATCATTGGGCGTCCATAGAACAGGGATGTTTTCTTGCACTCGTGCCTTTAGAGTCAGACATGAAACAAAATATTTATGTACCAGAGCTACACAAACATGCATGGGTCTCTTACTCCCCGGCTCCTGCCCCCAGCAGTCTTGGGCCACTCCAGGCTGTTGGCACTCTTTCCTGCATGTGCTTCCTGTTATCCTTCCTCCCCAGCCTGAAGGCCTTCCAGGCTGTTGCTGCCTCCCGCAGTGACGCTCCCCCTAAAAGCCCAGGAGTTTTCTCTTCAGCTCTTGGCCTCACATCAAAGCTCAAATACGAATCTCAGGTCTGTAGGCCTGGTCTGTTAGCAGTGTCTGCTTGGGGGTCAGTCTTCCTAGAACAGCCCTGTCTGCGCATATGCTTGCACATACTCATGCCCTGACAACTAACGACCCAGCCTGCTGGCGGCTTGATGACCTCACCAAAGAGTATTCAGTTTTGTCTTCAGATAGATGCAGAAAAGTTTTGGAAGCTGATCATGCAATTCATAGATGAGTAGGGGTTAACCACAACCAAGTCTGCTGGTTGGGAGCTTAAAAAGACACAAATGTGGTGGAGTTTTAACTTGGGAAACACTTAGAAATCAAGGAAGAAATGGGTGGGGATTTAGCTTAGTGGTTCTGCCACCTCCCTCGCAAGTGCAAGGACCTGAGTTCGATCCCCCGTACCCCTCCCCCACAAAATCAAGGAGTAAGTTAGCAGACTATATGCATTTTGTGACTTGAGAGAAAATCTAGTTAACCTGGCCTGTGAGGAAAGCAGCTACAAAGATTTGCAGGAGAGTGGACTTTTCTCAGTAGGGAAAGGCCATGTAAAAGGCAATTAAAGCTGCAAAACTTTAGGGGAGGGCCCAGAGAAAACAATCAATTTTATTGATGTTAGTAATCTTTAGCTTTGTTTCATATAGAACAATTACCTTAGGAATTGGATCCATGAGCCATATACATCCTGTTCATAGAGATTTCATTTGTGTGTTAACCTTTTGTACAAATGCACCCTCTTTATAATTTGGTAGATTTTTTAAAATCTAAAAATGAGAGCATATGAACAACTCTGCAGAGGCCCCTCATTCTTTTTGTGATTGGCATTGTCATTCAGCTTAATTTCATTTCTCAGTCTCTGTAGAGTGTGTCCATTTGCCCCTCTAGGGGGGAGATATGCATCCCGTTCTATTATTATTATTATTATTATTATTATTATTATTATAATCTTTTATTTTAAAAAAGTTTCTTTTCATAGAATACATTTTCTTATTAGCAGTTCCCTCAGTAGGAAAAAATAATGTGTTATATACAGCTTTATATTTATACACAGATTATTTTAGGACAAGTAAAACACATTTGAGAATTCTGTTTGGAATCTGTATATTTTAATACAGCTGCAAGGAAGACCCCTTTCCCTAAATGGATCTCTAAATTCTGAAGTTCTTCAGGCTTCCTAGGATTTAGAAATCTGAAATGTCAGCTATCAGCATCTCCTAATTTTAAAGTTTCTCTAGGACATAAAGTAATCATCATTAGCTAGTATCAACAGACAAGGAAGTTTCTGAAAATTAAACACTGTCTGATTTTCCTCAGTCTTTACTCATGAGTAACAATCTTTCCCTTTGTCTTTTTTTCCCAGGAAAAACACAAAATTATGACCATTTGTTAATAGTAATGAAACTGAATTCTCTTTAAGAGATTGATAAAATAAAAAGCAAAAGCTCATAAGTAATGTTTAGTTATACTGTGTCCTGTGAGCTAGGAGAAAATCCCATTAACTCACTAAAATTACAGAACTTGGTCTCACTATTGGTTTCACTATTTCTGAATTGGATACAACTTCACTCAAATCTTTTCTTCAAAATTAAATTCTGAAAATAACCATGTGATAAGGAGAAGGTTTATCCACCAATGGACTTATCTGTTATTTCTTCATTGTGACCTGAATATCATGACAGGGCAGAGGCAAAGAGACATACATTCAATTAAGGTATTAAGTGAAAAGGATCAGAACTTCCACAGCATGACATTTGCATATGCTCACCCCAAGACAGTTGAAATAACAAAGCCCAGCAAAGGTTAAAGCTGAGAGAGTGCCAAAAGACCTGCATTGGCAGCTTCCTGCCATGCGTCCCCATGAACACAGTAACAACTTGCCCAAGGCCACAGTGACTGTAATGAGTCAGGGCTGCAGCCAGGGAGTAGGTCATTGCAGAGCAAAGATTCAAACATGCAGCTTGAAGTATCCCCAGGAGCAAAACACGGCCAACTCTTTTGCTAGTCCAATAGAGAGATGCAGCCTTCAAACCAGAATGATGGTTTGGTGATAGGTGAATATTCTGTGCCCCAAACTACCCTGTAGCAAATCAGTCGTGTAGAAATGCTGAGACACGAACAGGTCTGAACACTGGAGTTTGAAGGAACAGAGCTTGGCCTCCTTGGGCACTGCAGAGGATGCTCAGACTCAGGACAACCGCCAGCTTGCCTTTGAAGGTTCAAGGCCATCTGCCAACCCAGAAGCAGTTATCCTCATTCTTCATTGCTCATATCAAGTTTGGCAATGTTGTCAACCCTCTGGACTTAATATTGAACTATCCTTATATTCCTGAGATAATCTCCTTGGGTTATGGTGAATTGCTGCATTCTATTTGCTTATGTGCTGGGCCTCTATATTTGCTCTTTCTCTTTAAGATTAGGAAGTGGCTTATATTCTGTCTCAGTTTTCTCTAAGAGCAACTACTCAGGGTTTTATTTTCTAATTAACATACTTTTTATCTGTACAAATTTATTTCTTGTATTTTTCCATAGGTTTATCTTGTTCCTTTTGTAACATTTTTGTTGACATCATTTCTGTTTTGTTTATAATAGACTTAGGGCTATGAATTTCCCCTTCAGCATTTCTTTAGTTGTATTACCATGAATTTTTCTCTAAATCTTTGAGATCTAAAGATTCAACTAGGGGTACTTGCTAAATACAGATTTCTTGAGCCCATCTGAGTGAGACCCTCTGACTGGGAAAGTTCAGGGAAAAAGCATGGCAGTGGATTTTAACAGGTATCCAAGGTAAGTTCTTGTAATTTGAGGAGTTTTGAGAAATACAGCCATAGTGTGTGCTATTTGCTTTCTGGATAGTCTGCAATTCATCTTTGACTAAAGAAACATTACATTTCTAGGACACAGAACTGTTTTGTAAAAAAGTTTCTCCCTCTCCCCCTGCCCCTGCTCCCCTCTCCCTTGAAGGCACTTTGAAAGAAGTTCTGTAGATTTGGAGTATCTCATTTGATATATATCGACTTCATCTACTTTAATAACTGCATTTAAAATCACCTGTGTACTTACTTTTTGCCTACTTGCTTTGTCACAAATGGAAAATGGTAAGAATAAAGACCTCTTTATTCTTGTTACCATTTTGAATATATATATGAGTATATATATGAATATGTATGTATATTTGTATTTCTCGCAGTTTCTTTATGAAGTGGGATGCTATTTTTAAAAATTCAAAAATAGAAAAAAGTTGAAAATAGATTATCTATTACCTTTAGATTTTCACTGCCTATTCATCTGATGTCTCAGCCACTGCTTACTTTTTGAATTTATATCCTACATAAATAAGGTGAGTTTTAAAAAATTTTGATAGATTATGAATTCATGTTGCTTAAAAACGTATCAAGTGTCCCTGACACTCATCAATGGTATGTGTGAATAGGTGTCCTTTTCCCTCCGTATCCCCTCCCCTGACTAGTCCCTGAGAACTAACAGCATGTACCTTGCTCGCTGCTCCCTCCCAATTCTTTTTTTTTTTTGGTACTGGGGATTGAACTCTGGTCCTTGCACTTGCAAGGCAGGCAGCGGAACCAGTGAGCTAAATCCACGGTCCCACCCCTCCCAATTCTTAATTTCTTATGCTCCAAAATTGTCTTATATATTTATAAATAAATGGGAACATGCATTTTTTACATGAGGGCTTCCTCTCCATTTTTGTAACATTCTCAGTAACAAATGAGACACTCTACATTTACCTCTTTACCATTTATTGGGTATAATATTCTTAACAATGACTTTTTCTACTGAAAAGCAAGTTGTATTTACCTGTAGATCCCAAGTATGAGAAATGTATACAAGAGTAACAGAATGTGACATAAAAAGTTATTTGAAAAAATGAGCAAACCAAAGCATTATAAATGGATGAAGCTTTACAAAATGACTGTGCTGGTTTATGTAGCGGTAACGTCAATCTGTATTGTGCTAAACAGCCTGTAACCAAGTTAAAGATTTGCATTGACAATTGCCACACACATTCAAGACATCAGGCTGCCCGACCACCTACCAATTTGACCTGACAGGAGGAGGTAAGGGAACTATTAGTTCTGCTTCTACTCGTCTGGAAAGCCTTGGCTATCTATTACTTAGAGGGTTTTTATCTTTCTCATAACTGCACTATGAAGGCAGCTATTAACTATAGGCCACAAACATAAAATGGTATTCAACTTCTTTGTAAAACTGAAATGACCACATGATATTTATTCTTTTGTCTGGATTTGAATGTGCTAAGTTAAGGATTAAAATGCTAGGAGAATTATGGGGAGCATAGAGCAAGCTTTTTGAAGACAATGTGGGAAATCAGGGTGGATTAGAAGGCATTCAACCCAGAGGAGCCAAATCACTTTAAATCAAGAATTCTTTTGAGTGTTCAATTTCCTATCACTATCCACTATTAACTATTTTAACAATTTCATATGTAGTATTTCTCCTTCTGTTTTTTTCCCCATATGAAAGAAGACTGTAATGGCAGGATTATAAATTGCCCCTACTGTCCCAAAAGTGAAGGGGGTATTTTCTCTGCAAAAGTCAGGGAAATGGTACTTTTCTATGTGAGTAGACTACTCTAGGAAGTATCCTCTTTCACAGAAATGGTTATGTATATAGGTCTCGCAAATCTTTCTTAGAAGGTTGTTTCACTATCAGAGTTTTTAAACAGTTTTAAAAGCAGTAGATGTCACTAGGAACTTAAGAGTGAGTCAGGAGAGTTTTGCAATCATAGCTAAATTGATTTTTCTATGGCTAACTTTCCTAATTAGAACAAGGCATTAGATGGGAGATCACTGCGGTCAATATGCCCATGGGAAGGATTTGGGGGATTCAATGCTGGTGGGTCCTGGAAAGGTTGCTCTGTGCTGTGACCCTGGAGAAAGTGGGCTTTGGGTGTCCAGTAGGTGAACCTGTAGGATAGCCACATGCTGTAGTAGTCACATTGGCCGACCTGAAGTAGTGACAAAAGTAGGTAAGAGATTTGATTCTTGGAGACTGGAGAGGCATCACGATTGGGTTTAGCCTCAGTAAGGCACTTGTGACTAGTGACAGGAAAAGGTAAAGGTAAAGAGCCATATTTGCCTCTGGCTTCCTGTGTCTAGGCATGTGGATGGGCCTGCTGATACATCATGGGGAGTAGCTAGGGAGCACTGTGCTGGCTTCTAGTATGGGTGGGGATGAGAAAAGGTGGTACCTGCAATGACTCCCATGGGCCAGTTGCTGTGTACAAAACTCCCAGCCTAAAAATCAAGTCTCTGGGTTAGTGCTGGTTCTTTGAGATTTCTGAGAGGGTTGTTGTAACTTTAATCTAGGTCACTAGTATGTGGCTGGGACCATTTTGAGAGCAGTGAGGAAGGATCTGTAGACCAAGTCTGCCCTGGGCTTTCTCCAGAACATCTAGGGCAGTCATACCTAGCAAAGCTTAAAAATTAAATGAGCCTCATGAAGAGAGACTACAAGAGGTCAGGGTGTATTAGGAAGATCTGGCCCAGCTGCCTAGGCATCGTGCCCTCTCAGTTGTCAGGGTCTTGTTGGCTCAGAGTGCTTAGTAAACATCAGTTGAGAGGTGGCAGGAGGATACTCAGGCATTCTAGTTGGTCCAGCATCAGGCTCTTTTTTTAGCACCATGAGGGATCACAGGTCCTAAGAGTATTCTGACAGAGATCAGAGTTTCAGCAGTTTTAGGGGATGCATTGATGTGTTGTATTGATTTGTCAGAGAACAATGGCCTCAATTTCAGTCTGAGAATTCCTAATGAAGTTAAGGAGGCATAAAAATGTCCCCTTGGAGACTAGTTTGGGAGTATTTATTCTCATGTAGTTTATTTTGTTGCTGTTGTGGTTTTTGTGATGTCATCCCACGTGTGTAAGCTGGAAAATTCACACTGGGCAGTGTAACCTCTGCATGCATATTTCGACAATGGAAAATGTTATGGCTTGTTTCTCTTGGTTGCTACACATCTGATTCCATGTGTTAGGAAAACAAACTGTTAAAAACATTTCAGGAGATATACTTTTAATGGAATGCCTGGAAGATTAGCCATATATCTCCCCATAAAGTGGGGTCATATAACCTATGGATATTCCTAGATGTATGAAGAAACATGAGTGGCCTCCAAGCCTTTGTGTCTAGGCACTGAGCTTTCTCAGTGATGGTCTTATAAAACTCAAATCAACTCTATTATTCATGCCTACAAAGTTTTTTAAAAATATAAAAGAATAGTCAGATTGCCATTGAAATGTAAATATTATCATTTGTTTCCATCATTTATGAATATATAAAAAGGGAGAAAAATAGCCTTCCCACCCCGAAACAACTACCACCCTGGTTATTGGCTCCTAAGTTACATTAAAATGGAAGTTGTTGCTATATATGTTTTATTTGATAATGCTTCTTGGAAGTCCTCCTTAATATCTGTATATTATACGGGAATATTAGGTTTAAATATGTTCTTATTCAGAAATAAACTGTTGGCTCTATAAAAGCTATGAAGTATTATAGAGATAAGAATATGTCACCAGCCACAGCCCCTAAGTGGCCACTGATGACATGACATAGGATCACAGTTTTAACCTCCTTTAATATCAAACTTTTCCTGGTTCTTCAAAAGCACAGGACTTATACTTAAGAAGGAACAACAAAAAATGTCCATTCATATCCCTCCTCTATTCACAATAGAAGGGGCTAAGATGTCAGATCTAAGGATTTGGGCAGCTAGAAAGACAAGGCCCACATAATGCACCATAAAAAACTCTAAACCTTTTCAATATTATATGTCTTGGCCGTAATACAATTGCCAAATGTAACACTAGTTACAGTAATTCTGTATGTATCTCATCAGCAGTAATATCATCTAACATGGCTTTACATTTTTAAGAAAATAATTATATAATAAACAGATGCATGCTATAAGAGTTGGAATGTGTTAGAGCTGGGTTCCCTTTTGTTTGTGTTTGTGACATGGACTTATTTATCCAGTTATGAATACTATGTTGCCTGGATACAGTGGGGAGTATGGGCAACTTTAAATGCAGTTTTGGTTTTTGGAAGGCAAACCAAGATTCTTGGTATGTATTTTTCTTTCTGCTTCAAGGCATAGGAAAAGCATTGCAATCACTCCTAAAGTCTTATCATAAAACACTCAGAGGGAATTATAGAACTATTGTCAATTGCCTTCTAATGTGAAAACTAGTCATACATGACCTCACCAGAAGACAGCAAGAGGTAGAATGGCGTTTTGCATTATCTGACTATTTTTGTATTTTTTATGTCATTGGATTCAGGCATCTTAATGATCTTGTGAAAATGGCTCCCCAGTCAGACACTGGCAGAGTAAAATGTTGAAGGGGCCACTTGCCCAACTCTGCTTTGCATGAATATGTAAGATCAGGAAATTGATTTCTTTTTCACATTCTGTGATGCCCAACGGGTAGGTTGTAAGTGTTCAGGCTTCACACTCTATGTTAAAAACATCTTTTAAAGATTCCTGAAGTCTAGCTGAGAAAATAAGATGTGCTATAGAGAACTTGAGGGTTCTTTGTCCAATATATACCGACAAGTATAGTAGACATAGGCTGTACCGTGAGAATAGCATTTCATTTGGTTGTAGTTTTTGCAAGCATAGGGATTCTCATTTTTAATCAGTTGAACCTTTTAGTGAAAGAAGATTTTTATATAAAGAATTGATTGGCTAGATCTGGTTACTACTTTACATCTGAAAATCATTATGGTCCCATGGAAAGCCTCATCTGTCTCTCTGAGCACAAGGTCATTGTATTACAGTTGAGAGGATAATATGGTAATTTGCTTAGCTCCAAACAGTACAGGGAGATGGAGGTTTGCAGTGGCTTCCTTGTAGAAACACCACCATTCCCAATCTAAATAATGTGCTGATGCCAGCACTCTGTAAAGGGAAGCCAGAAAAAGAAGTTCTTCATGTTTCTATATAGCAAAACTGTGAGCAATACTACAGATCTCGTCTTTGTCTGCTGTCCAAATGTGCTCATGGCTGGTCAGCTCAAGGTCAAGTTTCTGCCTGGCCTGGCATTCCAGTCTCTGTCCTGGTAGGGTCACACCTCAAGGTTCCTGTCTGCAACCCAGTTTCTCTCCAAAGCTTCCTGACCAGAAACAGATCCTTCCCTCTTGTCCTGGGGGCCTGTGAGCTTGCCAAGGCCCAGGACCTCCTTGAAGGCCAAGCACAGCCTGGACTGGCAGCCCCCACCTCTGGCCCAAGCTAGGAATCCAGAAAATCATTCGAGATTCTACTTGGGCTCTCCTGAGCTGTGTCAGGTGCCGTAATTACAGCTGAGGGCAGCTGGGTGACTGTTTCCCAATAAAGCCTTGATCAGAAAGTAAACATCTTGTCCAGAATCCCATCAAGCAGGATATTTCAAGTTCACTAAAATATTAAAAGCACAAGCCTTCCTTCCATGGAAAACTCAGTGATGGTAAAAATGTCTACTACAGCGCACTGCACTGTAATAAACATTCTGCATAAATAATAATTTACAAGTTCCTGAGCAAGTGTACAGAGCACCATAGCACAGCACAGCACCGACGGCAGTAGCTCAAAGTTCTTGAAATAATGGTTTTTTAAATTTAAAAAATTCTAAAAGTTGGTACAAAAAAAAAATCACTCCAGCTGGAGTTGAAAGATAGTGCAAACTTCTGTCTTCACTGTTGAAAAAAAGGCGTCAACTTGCTTCTCACTTAATGTAGGCAGTATGCGTGGATCTTGGCACTTGGTGTGGATATTTAGGAGCAGGTCTGAATTAAGAGGAATCAAGAGAAGAGCAAACAAAATTGTATTTAGAGATCTTGGGAATTATTTCTGTAGATGCTGAAGTCTGGGTGGCATAAGTCTTTTCCTACACTCTGATAGGTTTCCCAGGTCAGATCTGACTGTCCCTAAGGTGGGTGCTGGAGAGCACTCTTATTTTTGGCTAGGGTTGCAAATGGCATCAAGGACCTCACTCAGCACTGCAGAATTCCCAGTGGTTTACAACAGGCAGTTGATCACCAGAGAAGCCCTCTCCAAAGCGCTTTCTCCCATCTACAAGCTGATTCTAGCAGAGCACTGTCCAACAGAAAAAGTGATGTGAGACACTAATTTTGTTTTCCAATAGCCATATGAAAAAGTGAGAAATAGATGAAATTATGCAGTCAAAATCCAATGTGTATTTACATTGAGAGCAGATTTTTATTTTATTTTATGTTTTCTACCAGTGGCTACTGGGTAGCAGAGCTGTTGAGAACCAGAGCAAAGCAAGATATGTGTGATCCTTCAAAAATGAATGGGCAGGATTGGAGCCAGTGACTGTGGCAGGGTAGAGATGTAGGATAGGTCACTGCTTGAGGGCATTTAAAAAAGGAGCCATCCTCTCAACATGCTTATGTAAAGTGGTATTTTCCCCCTCTAAATAGAGCAAAAAAGCAACTCTAAGATCAACATACAAACCACAATGAAATAATTAGGATGCTATGCAATTTCTTCTGTATTTCTGCAGTTGGGAATTAAACCATTGGATTGACCCTTTGACTGCCTTTATCTCTAAGATTTATTAGGCAGCTATTTCTTTCACAGGCCAAGCATTCTTCCGAGGGGCTGTAATCACTAACGTGTGTCTTCCCTTTCAGAGATATGAATTGCTGAGCCCAGAGCCTGGCCAATAGTCTGTACCTTTGATTCCTTTGAACTCATAAAGTGAGCATCCTGCCAAGGGGGCATGTGAGGCAGAAGAGAGTTTTGGCTGTGGGTTTCACAGCCTTCTGTGGAAGGAGGGCCTGACTGGTATCATTTGCCAATTCTCATGGTATAAATACTCCTACAGGGGCTGATTCCACCAGGATGTCCCCAAACATGGAAGCGACGTGAGCAGCACCATGATACTGAACTCTATCATATGGAAATAATGGATGTGTGCAAACTCAGCGGCATAAATAATTTTAGCAAAAGGCAGTAAAAAAACCTAGAAGTGATGTTCTGAGCATTTATCATTTTTTATGTAAGTTTATATAATTTAATCTTTAATACAATATTTAGCAAGGTTGAATACTCTGCTTGCAAAATTTTTGGAAATTTAATAGCCCTCACCAACCATTGTGAGCCAGTTCCGGCACCTCCCTGGGCTGACCTCCCTGTGTAAGTAGGACTCAGGCTGTCTTCCTAGTCCCTTGTGGGAAAGTGAACAGATGACCCCAGCAGGAGGAAGCCTTTAAGGGAAATTCTGTCGCAAAGAGAAGCCCCCAGTCTCCTGCTGCTAGTGGCTTCTTCTGCCCTACTTCTCATTTCCTTATTTCATCTTTGACCCCCAAACCTGACCTGTGTCTCAGGACCCCAGGGTCTGGGCAGAGTTGGTCTTGGTGAGAGTTGCGAGTTTTGGAGGTGGATGTCTAGCCTTCATACCATCAACAGCAGTTTTCTTCTTAGTGCCTTATCAGCAGCCACAGCTGTCCTGGGTATGCCATCCAGTTCTACCTTATCTTGAGCCTAGCCCACCATCCCCCTTAACCTGGCTTGCTTCGCTTAGCCACCCTACAGCCACTAGAGAGAGGAGACCTACCTAATGGGTGCTGGGCGAAACCCAGGCTCCTGCTGTCCTGGCATCTTCATGGTGGCATTAGAGAGCCGAGTTGTCCTGCTCAAAGGATTGGCGGGCAGAGGTTTCTGAGGAGGATTTGGCTTATAAATCCCCTGCAATAAACATAATATTATGCATGATTCCTTAGCTTTGTGACCAGGTAAACACTGGGGGGCATCAGAGTTCCTGAAAAGCAGGATTTGAAGAATGGTGAGTTGCTGCAAGGCACAAGTTCATTTCCTGATAGTCACTGTATGAGGTGAGGTGGAGGTATGACCTTTGTTAACCTTATTGCCCAAATTTTCTCTAACATTTAGAGATTTATTCATGAATGCATATAGAACAGTTGTGAGTCTTTCAATCACTTGGTGTTCATGGGCCTTGGGGGGTATAGTTGGTGTTGGGGTTCTGTGCTAATGCCACCTAAGGGATGTAAACATTCCTATGTCTTTAGGTGGCTTTTTAATTTGTAAAGACGTAAACTGAGAAGCTGGCAAAAATATTTTAAGCATTATACCAACTTCTCCATTTCTCTGTTATCACTCGAGAGAATTGGCTCTGCTGTGGGTGGACTGGTGAATTGGATAGTCAGGGTTCTAAATTCTGGTCTAGATTGCTCAGCATGATCCCCTAAAGTTCTTTCACCCAAATACTTTCTACAAAGTATTGACCCAGTGGTTTGAGAGACAAGTCAAGCCTATGGAAGCTGAGGGGCGCTGTGCTATTGGTCAGGAGGCAGGGAGAATGTCAGCCAGGAGAGGGGGAAGAGCACGAGCTTGGGGCCTAGTCTATGCTGGGTTTATCCAGAGACCAGTGCCCCAGGGCTTATCAAGTCACTCGACTTCTCTGAATCTCAGTTTCTTTTGGAAAATGCAAGAAACCAAGACTTATCTCATAGCATTACTATGAAGATTAGGTAAAATGGTTTCCAGCACGTAGATAATAATTATCAGTAATATCAGCATTCCCTCAACTTTTTAATAGAAATAAAAGCAACAGAGATAGTGAAATCACAAAATTATAAGCCACCTTTTTCTATGGGACTTCTCCCTTGGTTGCATGTGTGTGTGTGAGAGAGAGAAGGTCAGGAAGTATGCAACACAGTCGTTTTCTGGGGCTTAGAGTGAGTCTGGGTGCCAAGCCACCTTCTCCTCTGGGTTTTGGAGTCTAGAAGACTCACAGATCCACAGGTATGTGAAAACTGGTGCTGTAATCTCCAAGGAAATAAAATGTCTCAGTAATTAAATGATGTAATGCAATGTCATACTACAGCACACAGTAGGGTGTGTCTGTGGTCTCAGCTACCCAGGAAGCTGAGGCAAGAGAATCATTTGAGCCTAGGAATTCATGACCAAGCCTGGGCAGTAGAGTGAGACCCTATCTCAAAAAACAACCCCAAATCACATCGTCACAGGACTGACTCAGTATTCCATATACTCAGAAACACTCGAAAATGATTTTAAAACACTTGAGTTGAACTTCTAAGTTCTTATTACTGGAGCTCAGTTGAAAGAACACAATAGAATCACCAAGTGGGAACAGGTAGATTGAGTTAGGAAAGAGGCACCAAATGAGAGACAGACTTTCAAGTGACATTTCTCTAGTAAAGGAAATGTTAACAGACTGTGGAATACAGAACAAATTCCTCAATGAAGAATAAAGACCGTATAATGTGCTTAAGGCCATGGGCTATGTGTTTTCAGAGATGAGAACAGTCCCTTCCTCAGGGGTTGACTGGGGGTTGAGACAGTGACGCTCTCAGTACATGGCCTGTCACATAGTCACCAAGGAGTGCGTGTCACCCACTGCCACTATTGTGCAACTATGATGGACTGAGTAAATTTACCTTCCACAAGCACTATCACCCTTCCAACAATCTTTGGGCAATAAACTAAGGCAACAAATCAAGTTCCATTTCCTGTAATAGAAAAGTATGAGCAAGATATCAGTGTGTAATGTAAAAATGAATGTACATACTCATAAAATTGAAAGACTTTGGGGATTAAATAATTCATTACTAAGTGATAGTAGTTTTGCTGCTAAGTATGACTAAGTACCTAGTCTTGGCAATAAAGATAATGTCAGGTTTTCATTGCAACACTAGAGAAAAAATGAGGTATATATTACGGTCTAGTGCAATATATTTGGATTTATCATGGAAGTGGAGAGGATAATTAGGTGGGCAATTCATTCTAATTTGCCTGGGACAGCCCCAATTTATGTGTATGGTCTTGTTTAATTATTAATCACATTCTCTGATGTGTCTCCTGCTTTACAGGATAAATGATATGGTCACCATAGTGATAAAAACCCAAACAGCTGAGGTGCTGACCGAGCGTTCTGACTTCAAACATGGGGACAGCACAGGCCTCTATCTGTTCCTTCTCACCAGGGGCAGGACGTGGCATGGATGGAATCATGAAACAAGTCTCATGGAAACATTGTGCCTACGTAAGATGCTGGCTTCCTGGGACAAGATGGCATGAATAGCAGGGCCAGTCCAGGAAGATGTTTCCTCACTTTTCAGATGTCAGAAGCCAATCTGCCTGGGCTTTGACCCCGTGAAAGGAGCAGAATTTCCATATTCCCTTTTAGGGTTGCTTTTCTTGCTGCCTTTACAAAACCCAAACCTGGGGTTGCCCAGAGGAATCCAGCCTGGCCTCAGAGACTCATCTGAATGGAGCCAAGAAAGGATTAGGTTGCTCATGCTCAGTAAGTATTCCTTCAGATCTATTTTCATTCAAACAAGGAAACAAGGACTTCAAATCTCATTCCTTTTCCAGACACTGGAGAAGAATCCAGGTATGCTCTTAAGTTGTCAGCGTGTCCTGCTCCTCCACTTTCTGATCATGTTCTAGCAAGAGCTACCTATTTCGGATTTTTTAGAGATTTGAATACATTTAAAAATTTAAATGTAACCTTTGCATTGACCATTGTCATCAGGAATTCTTAACTGTTATCAGCTCCCACATAATAAGAGTAAACATGTCCTGTCATGCAGAGATCTCTGCAGAGAGACAGGGTGTCATTACCAGAAAATGCCAGACATGCCACACAGGGCCTGGAGCAGCATGAACACATTTCGGTATCCACATTTAGCCTATCTATGGCTAAAAATATTCCTGTTTATGTTATGTCCTGAAGTAAATAGCAAGTGAATCAAATGTATAAATGTTAAAAAATTATGAAAGTATAAGAAATTCACATGCCTGTTGAGTAGTCAGGCTTTTTAAAATATGACAATAAAAATTACACAGATGAAAAGGTAGCTCACAAAGAAAAAAATGATCATAAACTTGTGTAAAGATGTCTCGCCTTACAGGAAGAAAAATGTACACCTATCAGATTGGTAAAGATAAATCTCTGAACACATTGTGTTGAAGAGCTGGGAATAGAATTTGGGACAGAAACTTTGGAGGCCATTCCTTCCAATCTATCACATTTCTAAGTACATATGGCCTCTGCACAGCAATTGAGCATTTAGGATTTACCCTATAGACATCTTGGGCAGAAACAGGCTTGTTTGAAGTAACAGATTAGTGGAAACAACCTATAAGGCCATCAGCAGAGGACAGGTTAAATAAGTCATGGTATGTCTCTATAGTGAAATACTATGTAGTCAGTGAAAAGAATGAGGTGGAAGTGGATATAACCAATAGAATGTAAGAGGAAATAAGGATGTGATGTATTGCCATTTAAATGCAAACCAAAGACATATGCTGAAACGAGTGACAGCATTGTGATGGTTGCTGAAGTTGGGTAGACAGAATTTCACTATAGTCAAATTTAGACTGGAGAACTGTTCAATTAAAGACATACATTACCTATTACCAAATGTGGAGAGTAAGATATCAGACACCCATTTTCCTTGTGTAGCCTGCATGTTTATGGTACAGAAATGAGTGGAAATACACATACCCCTTTGAATACTGTAATCACTTGGACATCTTCCCTGGCAGTTTTGTGTTCTCTGAAGTTGTCTCTCTCTAGAACAGTGATGGCGAACCTTTTACCGATGACTGCCCAAACTCCAACTGAAAACCTGCTTATTTATCTCAAAGTGCCAACACTGCATTTAAACCTGAAAACTAAACTGAGGTTCTAGTTTAGAAAAAACAACTCATACATTAACGTCTTTTATCTTAAAAACACGCCATAGGTGCTATAGGTTTGTCACTACTGCTCTAGACAGAGCACTGCTTCCACTGTAGTACCTACCTTTATGATGGTTGATGGGTTTGTCACATGAATAATTAGTAAGTGACATGCAACCAAGGAAAGTTTAGTTAGTTTCTGAAGAATTGGGCAAGGAAAGGTTAGCTGGAGTCTAAGACCATGGTAGCTACACTTTAGATTTTGGGAGGAATAGATTCATATTTTCATTAATCCTTGACTCATTGACTGATACCACGACAGGACTGAGATTTTACTCCTAAGATCCACACCAGCATATTTCTTACATGTTTATTGTGTTCAAGAGGCTGGAGTTCAGTGTGCCTGAAATAAATAGCCCCATCTTGCCCTGCTGTATAGGGAAGAACAAGGCTACAGGTAGCAGGTGGGCAAGGAACTTTGTAGGAGGACTTTGAAAAACTCAGGGAAGAGGTGGCCTTGGAGAAAGGTCTTAGGCACACAGCAGAACTTTGGAAAGCAGAAGGAAGCTCTGGAAGCTTGCTGCCCAGTATCTATTCTGTCATTAGCCTATAATTTTCCTGAGGCAATGAAAGCATTTATAAAGATCAGTTCTCTTGTGTTTCATCTTATTTTCACAGAACATATTGATGAATGGATTTCCTTTTCCCATTACATATTGGCATTTCTAATGATCAAGGACCTAACTCATCTGATTGCTGGACTACAAATTTCAGCCAACCACAAAGGTCAGAAAAGTACATGTTTATTCCACACTAACTCACTGTGTGAAAAAAATACTTTAGAAGTGTAGTCCAAGCCTCAGTGAACTGGCCAGTATTTAATTGTCCTAAAATTATAGTTTGTTTTGCTCATGTTTGGACCTGGTAAAGCACTGATGAATAGCTGTTACTCACAAGTAACAGTGCAGTTACTATTTTTCATCACTATTTTTTAATGGTGGGGGAAAAATTTGGTTCACCACCACTTCCTCAGCTAGTTAAGTGAATCTCCATTGTTCTTTTCCTAGAACAATGAACGTAAACTTTTTAGAGCTTTCAATGATAACAAACAGCCTGCTGCGGCATGCATACCATAGATTTGTCACCACTATCCTAGAAGATCCTGTCCCACACTGGTTAGTCTTGTTTCCATAAAATAGTATGTTGTGCACAATAGAGACCCAGGTAGAGGGTGCTGACTGGAAGGGAAGACTGTCCAAACACACAGGGAAATCTCCCCTCTATAGGGCGTATGGTGTCATCGCCATTGAGGAAGCTGCAGGTTTGCACATGGCTGCTCTTACTGCTGTGGTGTTCTGACACTGTTCCCATGAAGGGACAGCAGTAGAGAGGGAACAGTGATTGAAATACCATATATATATGTATTAATTCCCCAAAGTAGATGTAATTATGTATCACAAATATACTAATAAAAACACCTCTAAGGGTCATAGATGAAATTAAAGAAGTAATTAGTTTCTACAGTCAATAATGCCAGTATGACATACTGGAACCTATTGGACACAATGAAAACAGTCCTAAGGGGAAAATTTATAGCAGTGAATTTCCACATTAAAAAAACAGAACATGCTCAAATAAATAACCTAATGATATATTTCAAGGTCTTAGAAAAACAACAATTCAAATCCAAAGCTAGTACAAGGAAGGAAATTATAAAGATTAGGGCAGAAATTAATGAGATTGAGATTAAAAAATCAATACAAAGACTCAATGAATCAAAGAGTTGGTTATTTGAAGGAGTGAACAAAATAGACAAACTCTTTAGTCAATTTTACTTAGAAAAGACCCAAAGCTATGAAATTAGAAATGAAAAAGGTGAAATCACAGTGGATTCTGCCCAAATCCAGATGATTATTGGTAACTACTTTGAAAACCTGGGCTCTAATAAAATGGAAAACTCAGAAGAAATGAAGAAATTCCTAGATACATATGAACTGCCAAATCTGAACCAAGAAGATATAAAAATCTTAAAATAAGCCAATATCATTCAGCAAAATTGGTGTAATAAAAAACTACCAACTAAGAAAAGTTCTGGTGCCGACAGATTCATTGCTGAATTCTACAAGAACTTCAGACAAGATCTAACACCCATATCCCCCAAACTCTTTAATAAAATCAAAAGGAAAGCAGCCCTTCCAAAATCACTCCTGGAAGCAAGCATTACCCTGACTCCAAAATCAGAAAAGGACCCAACCAAAAAAAGAAAGAACTACAGACCAGTCTCTTCAATGAACATGGATGCAAAAATCCTCAATAAGATACTGCAAATACAATGCAGCAAATCATCACGAGGATTATACAACATGACCAAATAGGATTCATTCCAGGAATAGAGGGATGGTTCAACATATGCAAATCAATAAATATGATTCACCATGTAAGTAGAATAAAGGACAAAAACCTCAATAGATGCAGAAAAAGCATTTGACAAAATTCAGCATTAATTTATAATGAAAATCCTCAAGAAAATTATCTTGGTCTTTATCAGATTATCTATAACAAACCAATGGCCAACATCATACTTAACAGAAAAGCCAAGAGTTTTCCCTCTGAAATCAGGGACAAAACAAGGATGTCCACTATAATCAGTTTTGTTCAACATACATTAGTTCTTGAAATAATAACTAGAACAATTAGGCAAGAGAAAGGAATATAGGTAGGGAAAGAAGTTAAATTATCATTAGTTGTAAATGCCATAATTCTCTACATAGCCCACTCCAAAAACTCCACCAAAAGGCTCCTAGAACTAATAACCAAATTCCATAGTGTAGCAGGACAAAGTCAACACTCAAGAATCAACAGTGTTCCTGTATGCCAATAACAAATTCTCTGAAAAGGAAATTAGGGGACAATATTAACTATAGAAGTAAAACATCTCTACAATGAAAACTACAGTACTCTGAAAAAAGAAATTGAAGAGAATATCAGAAAATGGAAAGATATCCCCTGTTCCTGGATAGGCAGAAACAATAGAGTTAAAATGACCATACTTCCAAAACTGTTATATAGATTTAATGCAATCCTGATAAAAATACCAATAACATTTCTTACGCAATGGGAGGAAGCAATCCTAAAATTCATACGAAAGAAAAAGAGACCTAGAGTAGCAAAAGCAATCCTGGTCAACAAGGGCAAGGCAGGGGACATTAAAATCCAGGATCTCAAGTTATACTGCAAAACTAGAGTAATAAAAGCAGCACGATATTGGGGGGAAAAAAGACTGTGGAACAGAATAGAAGATAAAGAAAAAAACTCCAGGCACACTAAGCTATGTTATCTTTGACAAAGGGGCTAAATCCTTCATTGGAGGAAAGTTAGCTTCTTTAACAAATGGTGCTGGGAAAACTGGCTAACGCACTCCCACCCGCCACCACCTTGGCCACACCCGGGCAGAGTGGTTGAGGGCTGATTGAGGCCTGCTTCCTCCGGCTTGCTCCGCCAACTTGCGACTAGGCCAGGGTTAGGACCCTCCGACCCCCCCAGGCACGCCCACCAGCTTGGCCGCGCTGGCACCTCCACAACAGCCCCCCCCCCCGGCTCTGGCCTTTTGGCTGTGCAGCTACCTGGTTCCACACTACAGAGGCACAGGGGGTCATAAAAACCATTGTCCTGAGCTGCAGAAGTGAACAACAGAGAGAAGACCTTTCTCAGGCTCCCTGATGAAAACAAGCCCACTGGAAAAGTGAAGAGAATCTCTGCAATATGGGCACACCAGACCACCATACTTGGTAAGTTGGAGGGATCATCACCTCCCATTGGAACCTGGACTATCTTCAGGGGAAAGGCAGCTGGAACCTGCAATAGAACCTTGCAGAATGCAACCCTGCAGGAGGACAGGGAGCTCAACTTGGGACTTGCAGCCAGAAATCTGCCTGAATCTCATGGGTCTGGGACTAGCTTACTGAGATTCATTGATTTATAACTGCACACTGCTGCCCATGTTGTCTATTGTGACAGCAGAGACATACCCTGAAGGAGGCCCTTCATTTGTATCTTTTGTTATTTTA